TTTTTGGGTAGATGTTGTTATTAAATGTTTGATAGTTTGTGACGTATTGCGCGAAAGGGATTATTGTGGTGTGGAGTGTTGGTCTTTTACGTAATGGAAGTTGAAGATTGGATTTGTTAATAAAGATATGTATTTTGTGATTGCGTGTTGTTTGGAGAGTTTTTGGGTAGATGTTGTTATTAAATGTTTGATAGTTTGTGACGTATTGCGCGAAAGGGATTATTGTGGTGTGGAGTGTTGGTCTTTTACGTAATGGAAGTTGAAGATTGGATTTGTTAATAAAGATATGTATTTTGTGATTGCGTGTTGTTTGGAGAGTTTTTGGGTAGATGTTGTTATTAAATGTTTGATAGTTTGTGACGTATTGCGCGAAAGGGATTATTGTGGTGTGGAGTGTTGGTCTTTTACGTAATGGAAGTTGAAGATTGGATTTGTTAATAAAGATATGTATTTTGTGATTGCGTGTTGTTTGGAGAGTTTTTGGGTAGATGTTGTTATTAAATGTTTGATAGTTTGTGACGTATTGCGCGAAAGGGATTATTGTGGTGTGGAGTGTTGGTCTTTTACGTAATGGAAGTTGAAGATTGGATTTGTTAATAAAGATATGTATTTTGTGATTGCGTGTTGTTTGGAGAGTTTTTGGGTAGATGTTGTTATTAAATGTTTGATAGTTTGTGACGTATTGCGCGAAAGGGATTATTGTGGTGTGGAGTGTTGGTCTTTTACGTAATGGAAGTTGAAGATTGGATTTGTTAATAAAGATATGTATTTTGTGATTGCGTGTTGTTTGGAGAGTTTTTGGGTAGATGTTGTTATTAAATGTTTGATAGTTTGTGACGTATTGCGCGAAAGGGATTATTGTGGTGTGGAGTGTTGGTCTTTTACGTAATGGAAGTTGAAGATTGGATTTGTTAATAAAGATATCTAATTATAAGAATATGTGGTTTGTAATAATTACTGAAACCTCTAGACGACGAAGCCATCGAACCTTTGGGTAGAACCGGGTTCGTAACATTTGGCATAAGCGCTGGGAATCGAAACATTATAGGAACCACTGAACTAGCACACTGAAGATACTGTTGACGAAATTTTACTGTAATACTGCTACTACTGAGGACTATTGAAGCGATATCTAGCTAGTTCATTTGTGAAAAGAAATTGCAACATAATGACGATAATGCCCACACAACGTTGACATTTTTACAGCATCGGAAATATGTTATTTTTGGAACTACTGCGCACCTCTATTTTAAGTCGTAAAAACATAACGTCCACGTAAGCGGTGGTTGATCTTTGCAGGATACACGTACATTTCCTTTTTTTTTTCCCCGTAGACAAAAAGGTGTCCGCGGCTGGATGAGAGGGCCTCGCGAGCCGTAGTTTGGAGACCCCTGGTCTATAATAATTAATAATAATTCCAGAGGGCGCTTCAAATATCCACCAGTGCTTAGTAGAACAGCCACAGTTCAGCACACAGCACGGCACACAGCATGGTGGATAACGAATGTGTTTATTGGTGTGCATTCAGTGCGTACATGATCAAACGCACGGACACGGTGGGGGGGGGGAAGCAGCGAATGAGTGCGCTGCACGGTGCACATTAAAAGGGGGCGGATAAGAAAGATCCACCCGGGAGTCATTATTACCACCGGTAATCACTAATAGTGACTTGCAAAATAAAGGATAAATTGTGTTCGAAATGTAACTATTTGGCCATTAATATGTCATTGTTTGTTATTTCAGTAGCTTTAATTGAGGCATGATGCAGTAAAAACTTGAGTGTTTAAACTGTATTTCTTTTCTTGAACGGCGCGGACCATGAAGATCCACTAAGGAATTATTATAGATTAATATAGATCACATGTGTCAAACTCAATGCCCGCGGGCCACATCCGGCCCGCCGTACAATTATATCAGACCCGCGAGGTCTTGTCCGGCGTACAATTATATCCAAGTCAACGCTATGGTGTTTCCCAATGAACACTTTGCTGAAAAAACTGAGCTTACTTCGCGTCGAGTTCGCAGGGCGCTTTAGTCAATTGGAAGCACAGAAATGTAATTTCGAGCTGTTTCGTAACCCATTCGCCATAGACGGGGAAATGCACCTGTAAAGTTGCAGATGTAGCTAATAGAGCTGCAGTGTAATGAGACACTAAAGGCAAAGTACGACACAGTCTGGCCTGCACAGTTCACTCGTTTCATTCCTGAAGAGATGACCCAGCTTCGTCTACATGCGGCTCGAACATAGAGCATAGAGACCGACAGAATTTCGGTTTCGGCACCGAAAGTGGCCATTTTTTCGGCCAGTGGCGTTTTCTTAGGAACATTTCCTGACCTGTCCCGGCCGGTGGCTTTTTCTGAGGAACATTTCCTGACCTGTCCCGGCCGGTGGCTTTTTCTGAGGAACATTTCCTGACCTGTCCCGGCCGGTGGCGTTTTCTGAGTAACATTTCCTGACCTGTCCCGGCCGATGGCGTTTTCTGAGTAACATTTCCTGAGCTGTCCCGGCCGGGGGCGTTTTCTGAGTAACATTTCCTGACCTGTCCCGGCCAGTGTCGTTTTCTGAGGAACATTTCCTGACCTGTCCCGGCCGGTGGCGTTTTCTGAGTACCATTTCCTGGCCTGTCCCGGCCGGTGGCTTTTTCTGAGGAACATTTCCTGACAGGTCCCGGCCGGTGGCTTTTTCTGAGGAACATTTCCTGACCTGTCCCGGCCGGTGGCTTTTTCTGAGGAACATTTCCTGACCTGTCCCGGCCGGTGACATTTTCTGAGGAACATTTCCTGACCTGTCCCGGCTGGTGGTGTTTTCTGAGGAACATTTCCTGACCTATCCCGGCCAGTGTCGTTTTCTGAGGAACATTTCCTGACCTGTCCCGGCCAGTGGTGTTTTCTGAGGAACATTTCCTGACCTGTCCCAGCCAGTGGCGTTTTCTAAGGAACATTTCCTGACCTGTCCCGGCCAGTGTCGTTTTCTGAGGAACATTTCCTGAACTCTCGGGGACACAGCGAGGGTGATGCGAACATCGGGACTGTTCCGGGTATTGCTATTTATTTAATTCTGGTAAAATGTACACACACACATAAAAAGTATGTACACAATATGTACTGGTTCTATACATGCACTTTTCATTTCTCCCTATTGTGTGAAACTCTTTGGAACACGTTATAGAAATTGATAATAAATGATAGACTGGTGAAGGAAATAGTGGGACCAGGTATGTGGAAGCTTGTATCGAAAGACTCCAGCTTCCACATTCCTTGTTCTACTATTTCATTAGAGCAAAGGAGATAACTCTTTTTTTGTGTGTTGGCACCGGGACCCAGTTTTTGCCGGATGCGTTACAACGCCGGCCTTACGTAAACGTTCACCCTGTGCGAAGCACCCGTCTGGGGCCCCCTTCCCTGTCCTTGTAGGGTTCCACCCTTTCGGTGGGTTCCAACCCCAGTGTTAGTATCCAAATTAAAAATGTAACTTTCATTGTATAAACTCACATTGTTTGAAAAGCGATTGTACGAGGGCACAGGTCGCACACCCGGCTATATGTCGGGTGCCTCATTTCTTAGCATTTCCGGGTCAGCACCTAGCTCAGCCCGACCGTTGGCGGGCACCCAGGCCATAGGTTCGCTACCATATATTATCTATGCAATGCATGTTATGTGTCATATATACAGTATATATAACCAAACAGAGCGCAAGAGGGGACATGTATGAAATAACACCGTTCTTAGTAGAAATGCCTTGATAAATGCTAAGGCAGTGATACACAAACTTGACAAAGTGTCGTCTGCAAACACCCAGTCACCGGTCCACACCACAGAAAGTGAAAAAAAGTAATTAAAATATAGAAAAAACAATTGAATCGATAGGGCACCTGTCATGCTGCACTGAGCCCTGATCCTTCGAGTTAAAAAGTTTGAGAAGCACTGTGTCAAGGCCAACAGGGGTAATAATGTTTCTCATCGCGATCCACTGGGCAGCTCAGCTATGGAAGCCTTATTAGTAAACAAAACAAAGCAATTCCAAATATTCGCCTGTCGAAGTATTATCCACCTTTAAATAAATTTAGCTCAAACGTGTTAAATTAGATCAATGGTGTTTGCATAATTATATAGAATTACAGAGCACATTCTTCATTATGTTCTAATGTAAGATTTTCATGTAAAATTAGACTTTTATAATAATGCTATACTATAGGCTTAAGTTGACCCAATAGCAAATTGCCAATAGCCTAGGCTTTGCTTAGGCTAACATTTTAGTCTAGTATATTTTAATTTTTTTAATGGGTTTAATCATATTTTCATATGCCATATATTTTATTTTCCTTCAATCTGCGAGAATTTGAATGAATGATAAAATGAAACGCAATTGTAGAATTTAATGAGAATGTTAATAGTGTTTACGTATTGAGACCCTTAGTTAAATAATTCGACCTCATTCATGAAGGCTTGGAGTGGCGGATTTCAGCAAAACCAGCCGGTACAATTGTGCCCTACTTTGCGTAAATGCCAGCTGCTACACAGGTACAAATGCCCATGAACATGTATAGCTAATGTTCGAACATTTAAACTTTAGGATTTTACAGAATAAAGCAATTTAATTACAATGATTTGGGACATTTTAGCAATAATGAAGTTTAAAAAAAAATAATAAACTTGTTTATGATGATTATTCTGCAATATTTAGCATAAAAACTAAGGTTAGATACTCTAAATGCGTTCACCGGATACTACTAAAAGTGATGTCATCTCGCGGGAAATACGATTTCGCGCCAAACTCGCGCTTGCTTTGTTACCCACACGGCATCTGTGTCAAGCTTTGATGTTACGGGATCCTGGATAAGCCATGAGATGATCCATCTGAATTTATCTTTATCTGTGCTCATCCACACATAAAGCCGAGTGCAATTTACCACAGACATATTTATATATTATTTCTATACTTTATTCATTTCATATGTATCATTACAACAAATTAATATCAATTTAATGTCATCGATGAGAACGGAAGTCGTCAACTGACGCTGAGTGGCAGCTGCTATCAGGGCACTGCAAGCTGACTGATATCTCCAAACATTATTGAAACTTTTACTTCGATATGCCTAGGAAACAGACATTAGTGGCTAGACGAGATCTACCAATATTTATAAAGCAGGAACCATCAGATATTGGATCTAATTCTCAACAGTTATTGAACCTACCAAGCATTTATCCACGTCAAGGATCACAAGTAGCAACATCGACAACAAAGACTGGTGACTTTTCGGCATACGATAGTATCGAAATAAAACAAGAGTACGATCATTCAACACCTCAAGATGCAAATTTATCTGGATTTCAGTTAATTCAAGAACTCGAAAAACCACAGGTAGATTTTAATCATATATTGCATTTTCTTTCTTGGAATGAATGCACACTTTTTGGCCCCGCCCACTTTCGCACTCTTTGACTACTTCTTATGTGAGTGTGATGATCCTGATATGAATTATAATACTTATTTATTATTGCAATCGACATACACAATTCATTAAAAAGATGCCATATGGTGTCAGCCAACTCACTGTCTGAACTAAATGAATAACGTTAATTACTTTTTCCACAGGCTAAATGAAACACCCAATTTAAATTAAAAATTACAGCATTGGGCCAATAATTATTAATAATAGTATATGATTCTTTGTCTTATTCTTAACTTTATTTCGACCCGTGATTAATGTAATTTAGTATGGGCTAGTCCAAGGGCCTGGCGATTTTAACTTGATCTTGTCTACTTCATATAATTCTTTTAGTCTAATTACTCTTAATATTTTAAATAAATTAAAAAAAAAATTAGTTTTAGCTTAGTCTGCCTACTAAGTTACTTGGCTTTAACAAAGTTAACACAGTATTTGGGCCCTACTCCCAACAAAAAAGGCTTACTTAAATTGAGTAGGTTAGAAACATCAAAGTGAGATAATTTTTTTTTAAAAAGGTAGTCTCTAGGCCTAACATGACATGTGTTAGTCTTACTACTTACTAAGACTACTTAGAGTCTTAGTAACTTAATAATCAAGTTAATTATCTTAAAAGTTCTGTAAAATTTGAGTAGTAAGCATTGACTTTGTAACATATTGTATGTAATTGTATCTTACTAAGACACTTTAGTAAGTTAAGTAACTTCTGCTTGGCTTAACTAACTGCCTCTTGTAACTTAGTAAGTATAAATTACAAATTGACAAGCCTAATTATTAGAAAACGAATTTATGACATAACAAACGTGTTAGAAGGAATCAACCACATACAGAAAAAATCTAAAAACAACATGCAATGGAGATGGGTTTTAATATTAGGTTAATAGACGTAGGTCTAAATCTAGGCTAATTTTTTTCTGAACTAAAAATACTATATTATTAATATACTCCTTTCAATGTAATCAAGCAGACCTGCTGGTAAGGCAAGGTTTAGTGATATAGAAGACTAACTTAATTAAAATTAAAATGATTCATTTCATTTTCACATCTATTTATGGGCTATTGGACAGGATGTACTGCTTTCTTTTATTTTTATCAATAATTTTAATTTAGGTCTAATCCATTAATCCATGCCCAGGTTAGTACATTTCAGTTATTTTAAGAGCTAGCTTGTTTGAAAGCTAGTTTAAGTATAAGGAAAATAAGTAAATGAATCAGTATAATTGATGATTTATGCCAGTTCAGTTAAGCTAAGTAGTTAAGCTGAGATATTCCAATAAATGATATGTTGGTCTGAAGGATCACTGCTTGTTACTGGCACCTGTATTTTTTCAGTATGGACCTCATTGTCATAGAAAGAACGCCATACCTTGTAATGTTAACACTGATTTAAGATGAGATTAAAAATGATTATATTCAGTTATATATCTGTCATATGGCATATACGATATGCAACTATTGTTAAGATAATGAACCTGCCTTAGCAGTGAAAGATTAATTTTGGATAATTGTTTTGTTTCAAATTATAGTCATTAAGTAGTTGCTAGTTCAGTGCATATGATGAAGTGAATTCCATCATAGCTGACATAACTTTCAGAAAAAATAATTTCTATTTGTATACAATATGAATGGAAAATGCCTTTACCTTTACATATGCTTAATTTAATTATACACGGTTTGGGTTTTAATAGTAAAAATTTTAAAAATAATTTTGGAATTGTAACTGATGTAACATGAAAAAAACGTTTGAGCTAGCTTCTTTTTTTGACAATTTCCTCTGAAATCTGCTTTGCATGAAATATATTTTTTAAAACTATTATCTTCAGTTTAAATACTTGTCTAGGGAAAACCTTTAAAAACTACTTGGAAAGCATGTTTAAAAAACAAGACTCCAAGATGTAGCTGATGTAAAATGACTTTGTAACTGACTTAACGGGTTTGAATACTGACCATGACAATGAATTGTCTATATTTATTAGATATAAACACAATAAAATGTTACAAAATTCGATTAAAATGTGCAGACATTTTCTTAATTGAAGAGGACCACCAGGTCATGTGTCACACAAAACAAAGATACTAAAAATGACCCCATGCCAATATGCATGACATATCATTAATATAGCACCAAATTTTATGCAAATTAAATTTTTGATGGTGTAACTTTTACATGGAATAATTACACCACATGTGTGTGGACAAAGTTATGAATTACGCTATGTGCCCTAAGACTGTGTAATCTTTTGTTTTTAAAACTTTAATAATATTGTGTTGTAAGGACTGTTTTACTTGTAAACGCAAAGGCCTAATGTTGTTAATTGTTGTTATGCTTGCAAATCATTAAAAGGTGATGAATACATTAAAAAAACTTATAGCAAATGGGCCTTGAAGTTAGAGGAATAGCCTAAACATACGTGGTACCGGTACAAAGAAATACATATCATGGTCATAAATTTAATTATTTTCAACATGCTGATGTCCATTGCCCCAACAATGATTACAATCGAACCTTGTAATATTGATAGGAAGAGTACATAGTTTTATTTCCCATCACAAATGTAGATAATGTTTGACCAATAAATTGACATGATACATAATGCACTTTAAATAGGTCAAGAGAAGACTTGAATTGGATCATGAGATCACTGTGGAAGCTTTCAAGACACCAAAACCTTGTAAGAGAAAAAAGAGCCTAGGAGAGTCACCTAGAGGTAACATTTGAAAATAAGTCAAGTAACACTTGTGATCTGTGAGTTGATCACTTTCCCATACACTTATCTCTCACTAGTTCCTGTAATCCTAACTTGCCGTTATCAAAGATTGCAGTAGTGGATAAAATAAAAATAAACTTCAGGACAAGATGAGGCTAGTTCTTACATGATTGTAATGTAATGAGCCACTTTTAAGAGTTATCAATCAGACTTATTCACTTTGAAGACAATAATAATTATGTTATTGAAATTCCTGTTTGATATCTCAGAGTGTTATTTAGGATGACATTGTTTACTTGTGTAGATACCATAATAATTGTTAATTTGAGAGGCATTGAAAATAAAGGCTTTAAAAAAAAAATAGGTCCAGTTATCAGCTATTCAACATGTTTGGACAAGTAAGACATTTTTTAGTGGTATAAGGATGATCAAGATTGATATTTGAACACTCCAATTGTTGTGGCTTGATAGGTGCAAGATCACCACTAGAGAAAACACGCTATGATACGTCTCTGGGACTGCTGACCAAAAAGTTTGTTGGCTTACTACGAAGTGCTCCTGACGGGGTGGGTATTTTTTTTCCAATTAAAAAAAAAAAGGTTCTCAAACTGTGACATTTTATTTTTAATGTCAAGTTATTTTCTGCACTGATGAAGTATTAGGTAAAATGAAATAATATACACAAATTATATGTGGGGGTTGGTGTGTGTAGATGCAATTTTCTTACTGGTGAAACAATTTCTTTCTTAATAGGTTGTGGACTTAAACAAAGCCTCGGAGATTCTTGAGGTACAGAAACGAAGAATTTATGACATAACAAACGTGTTAGAAGGAATCAACCTCATACAGAAAAAATCTAAAAACAACATACAATGGAGGTGGGTTTTAACATTAATAAAATATTTTTGTTTTTACGTAAGATTCCAAATAAAATTGGAATGCCAGATGTGGTTGCTACATTTTGTTTAAGATTTGGATTACTTGATATACATTTTATGACAATTAGTGCTTGTCAAAGCAATTTTATACAGCTTTTTTGGGGTTAATAATTGTGATGAATTACTATTAATTTCAGGGGTGCTGCAAACACATTTACATCATCAGGAGAGCCCTCTATACCCCAGGTCACACAAATAAGTACCGCCAGTGTAGACTTGCATTCAGGTATTAACATTCCTTTTTGTCTATGTGAGTTTAAAAAAAGTAATTTTCTAACCAAATCTTATAGGTAGCAGGTTTACAGTTGGTACAACTTTCCTTTTTTCTTTTTTTCAGATATGGCCGAGCTGAGGTCCAAAGAAAATGTGTTGGACAAATTAATTGCAAACACCACCAGAGCTTTGAGAAATTTAACAGAGGACTCAGAGAATGCTAGATATCCTTTTAAAGAAGTTTAAAAAAATGTGTTTATCCTGATTGTTTTTATTTAATATGCTGAAACAGGCTTTGTTAAAATGTGATCCAAACCACCAATTGTTTGGATCAGTTGAAGACACTTATCTCTATTAAATTTAAACTATCCACTCATCTTGATTGACTTACTAAAATTCAGGTGATGAATGTGCCGTAATAACTTACCATTCCTTAACCATCTTACATTGGCCTATGTCACATATCAAGACATCAGAAGTCTGAATTCCTTAAGAGAGCAGACTGTCATAGCCATCAAAGCTCCACCTGAGACAAGGTTGGAAGTACCTGATCCTGAGAATGTGAGTGATGGAAAATCTTAATGGAGATAATTCTTTTATTTAAAAAAATAATTCTGTAAGCCCTTGTGTTACACATTGAACAAAAAGGCCAGCACTGATTTGGTGTGCAAGGCCTAGCACTAATTTGATGTTCTTCAAAATGTAAGATATTTTCTCAATTGAAATCTAAAATTAAAGATGTTTTTATTGTGGACACTAGTAGCATTATTTTAAAACAACAAAACAATAGGATGGGTGGAAAGGGGGGGGGGATGTTTGAATCAATAGAAGATTCTTTTGTCAAAGGCTGCACTATTCGTACCCGGGTACCAGAAGTGAGAGGTTGGGATTAAAAAAACTATTTAAAATTTTATTGTTTGGTTTGTAAGACGAAATGAGGTATCAAATGAAAGATAATTGAATGAACTATATTTTTGTAAACTTACTTCTTCAGTTTAACTAAATTAAACTTCCACAAATGACATCCGAATAGCTTGAGTCTAATGGTACCCAGGTGCGAATGGCGGCACTGCATGTCTGGGGCCATTTTGACACAGTGCTATTCGGATGCCATTTGTGTTAGTTTATTTTAGTTAAACTCAAATAATAATATGACATATGGGTATTTTTCCAGAACATTCAGATCTGGTTGAAGAGCACCCGCGGTGCCATAGATGTCTTCCTTTGTCCAGATGATTTACCTGGCGATGAGACCACATCCAGTGGAAGCTCTGATTCTACAGCTTCCGCTAGTGATGGGCAAGATGAGGTTTGTTATAAGAGAAGTCTTAAAATGGTAACAACACATTCTTCATCCAATATATGGTGAGGCTAGAAACTGCGAATTACCTTAATTTATCCCCCTGGAGCAAAAAACAGTCTATTTTGTATGTTTAATCTCATCCATTTGACCTGATCATCTTTTTGAATACTAGGTTGATGGGCTCTTGTCAAGTGACACTGGCCGTGACAACAATCTTGACCCTGTCAGCAAGCCATTTGGTTCTGGGGAGGAAAGGTTGTCAGATAGGTTAAACAGCAATGAGTCAATCAAACAAGAACTTTTTTCAGAGGAATCAACATCAGCTGATGACAGTGAGTGCAATCATCATATAAGCTAGTGTGACATGACTTAAGATAATGTGACATGACTTAGCTAGTGTGACATGACCTGACAGAATTCCCCGGCTGCCATCCTCCATTACTATTAGCAGCTAATCATTTACAAGGCGTTTGGTAGTCTGCGTGTCAGCTCTCTAAAAGATGAAATCAAATTGTGTAAGTAAAACAGTGTTGTTAAGCTTTACTTACATTAGAAAGTACATCCTAGTTTTGAACTTTTATTATCTTTTTTTATTGCCAGCTCTCTTAAGGAGTGAAATTTCTCCCATCTGTGGTTCTTCCTTGCTCCATACCACAACGGACCAGGACATGCCCTTCATGCAGATTAATCCTACATTTAATCTTGACGAGGATTACTTGTTCAACGTCAGTGAAAATAGTTTCAGTGAACTTTTGGATGCATACGATCTTGGATTTTGACGGCGATCTTTTTGTGCCTCTGTTACAAGTTTTACAAACCTTCTGAAATTATTATTCACCACATGGAAGAAAGAAAAAGCTTAAACAATTAAGCTAGCCATTAAAATACACAAATGGATATGATCAAACAGTGCTGATTGGAAGAAATAGAGTAGTGCTTCTCTCACAGTGAATGCTAGGATTTCATCACATTGATACCTCATGGATTTACAGAAGATTCATTGAAGAACATGGGTGAGTGTAGCATTGTGTGAGCATTTGGGAATATTAAATTTATACCAGCTAATTGATTTCTGGGCTCCACAACAAATCTTGTAAATCGTAATTAACTTCATGATCGTTGTTAACCACTTGATTTAAAACTTTGAACTTTTTATTAGTTTACTGCAATTTGACAATCCAATCTCTTTTTTTAATTCTAGAGTAAGCTTATCATAAATGTCTTATTCAGAGGAGGCTGTGTAATTCACCTAGTATGAAAAGACCAATGTGCCTTAAAGTATTAAAAATCTGTCATTTAAATTTAAAAAAAAACAAACACATTTTCCACATCTTCTGCTTAAATTTTTTTTTTTTTAAAGCCAAATTAAATTATGGACCGCCATTGCCTAATGTGATGTAAAAATAACTAAAATTTATTTATTACTTCTGACTTGTTTTTGGTAAGGCTTTCTCATTCCTCATTGGTGGAAAGCTTTTGTTTCTGATCTGAAATTTCCATGATTTCTTTGCGTGGTCTGAGTTATTCAGAGGTTTAGTTGGAAATACATTATTTTGTCCCTAAGTGACATTAAGTATACGGTTCATAGTGAAGATATCCTCCATCAGAATGTACAGCATATGATGTGATTTACTATGTATTTCAAAGGATTGTAGTGACAACATTAATATTTAAACAAAATAGAAAACCAGGGGATTTTCGTTTTCTCCATATTTAAGATTTTTTATATTTTGGCTTCTGTTTTTTTCACAGTTGGGGTTAACATACATAAATAATTTTTATCCATTCAAACACATTTGCAGTCAATTTTTATGTAATTTAACTAAAATGCTTTTTGATATCCATAATAATTTTTAACCAAAGTTTTATCTTGTCTCTAGCTTATTTAAAGATGAATTATGTATGCACATTTCATACAGTCATATGTATATTTATATAGATAGATATAAAAATATACACTTTTTTCTTACAAGCTTCCAGTACAAGCCATATTTTCAACTAATTTTTAGTATCAAATAGCTGGACTTGGCAGCAAGCTATTAAGACTTCTTGAATAGTTCTACCTTGCTTGTTTGCTTTCGTAGCAAATTTTTACTTCTTTCAATCCATAATTTTTCTGTTAAGATCAGCATATTTCATAACACATATGTAAATTACTTTTTCTTTGTATATATTTGTACTAATGTAACGTAATTTATGATTAAAATGTAAGTGATATGCCTGTTATTTGTTTAAAATATTGCTTTGCTGTATTATTATTTTTTTTAAAAGATGGGGTGGGGAGGTTTGCCATTAGGAAGCGTTTTGGGGCTTTCCAGTGTCAACTACTTAAAAATGCATTTTAAAAAAAAAAATGGAGTGTATATAATCTATTATTTAAAGCAATAAGCAGCTCTTGATTTTCAGACGGCTGCTAGTGTGAGAGTGCTGGTTGAATATTCGTGTCCTGACTTTTCAATATTAAATGTTAGATTTCTTGTATCTGTTAAAACAATTTTTTTAGTAGGCAAACCTGTTAATGTTTCAATAGGACTAAAATATTTTTTTTAAGCCAAAAAACTCCAGAAACTATTTTATTTCCTCACTAGCCGTTATTTTTACAATTAATGATTAAATCAGAGATGTAAATGCCACATGTTGTCAAGTACAGTAATACCCAGATTTTTCCGTAATCATTAAGGAATATTGTCACTGGTGGCTGATCCTCACTAAAGTCTTACCCACGCCTCTGTGCTGTTCCACAAAATGTCTAGCTTTTAACATTTTATTTTCAAGTGTACAGGACAGCTATAGCTAGTATTACACTTGCCTTTGGTTGGGTGCATTAAAAGACGGCTATAGCTAGTATTACACTTGCCTTTGGTTGGGTGCATTAAAAGACGGCTATAGCTAGTATTACACTTGCCTTTGGTTGGGTGCATTTGTGAAGTTATATTTCAAGTATGCAGAATAATAAAAGCAGATAAATGGGCTTCAAGGCGTTAACAATAGAACTGTGTGTTAGATGGACCTTAACTTTTGTTACAGGCTTTAAGGGGAGGATGAATGTTAGTGATATAGCGTAGAATTGTGTTAGTGATATAACGTAGAAGTTGTGTTAGAGATACAGCGTAGAAGTTGACCTTTTTCAATAAAAGATAAAGAGCTAATCGTTTGTCGTCAACCCAGGTGAGTAGGAAACATCAATAAAAAAAGTGTTATTTACCAATAAATAAAAAAAATTCTTAATTATTAATGAATTTAATCTCTAACCTAACCAATTTTTTTTTAATGGCTTATCCCCCAACCCATTATGCAACTTGAATTGAAGGTATTACTGTACTGTATGATGGTTCTTATGATTTGTGTTTTTATAGATCATTTATCTGCCACAGTATCAACTGTACAAGGATCATCATTCAAAAATTGCTTTAATATTTGAGTAGGCTTTCTAGAATTAACTTAGTTGATTCTGTCACATTGTGCATTGTCACATATATGGCAGTGCCTTGTGTAATGTCACATATATGGCAGTGCCTTGGGCCTTAGAAGAGTTAATGCGCTCAGGGTGCAATATGTTTTTTTTTTCTTGTACATTGAGTGAAACCTGGAAATAACGCAAACCGTTGGGACCGAATCAAAAGTTGTACTATTTTATGGGTTGGTGGGACCAAATAAAAGTAGTGCTATTTGATGGGATGGTGGGACTAAATAACAGTAGTGTTATTTGATGGGATGGTGCTCTTTGCAGGTTCAGTCAGTGTTAAAAATAATAGTTCTGGGCCAGGGGGAGCTAGTATATATGCCATGAACAAGCTATTTCGTGGTTTGTTTTTTCCCAGATTTTACTGTACATAGTTAAAGAAAGACTGCTCTAGTTAAAATGTGTTCATAAAATTTTTATCCATGAAACATTGCATGTATATGATTTGTGCCATCAATAAATAAATTTGTTATTGTCTATTACTCCCATGATCTGATGATCTGCTTTTTTATCTTTTTTTTTTTTTGTAACAAATGAATAGCACTGGTTTTAATTTATTTATTTCCAAATTTTCAACTGTCTCAGCAACCCAGGTCATTTAGTTTAGGGGACTGTTCCTAGGCAACCGTTTCATCCCAGCTACGGTGTCACTTAAATCACAAAGTAGAAACCACGCATAGAAATCTCTATTAGAGGTCATCTGGCGTCACCCCTGGATGGGAAGGGATGTTTTAAGGAACATTAAAATATATCCATCCGAGCCCCTAGAAAGTTCGACTGCAGTTGCTGCTACAGCTGACCAGGTGTTCCTTTGTTGATGCCGCCCCACTCCCATGGTCAATCGAGTGGAAGGCGGGTTGGGCTGTCTCAGCGATGGAGTGCCTCCGGTGTGCTGCTTTGCGGCCTATCTAATTAGCTCTGTTTGGATCAGTGGAAATAGGGGGTATGTCAGGGTGAACCTAATGAGCTCTGGCCTTACAGTCTGGTGTTTTTCTTAAGAGATTAGAGTAGTAGAGAAAATTAAATTTCTTCTTTGAAAAATATTTATCTTGGTCCTCAAAAAAATAAAAATGTACATTTTATTTGAAGGAAATTAATTGAAACGGGCAAGAAAAAGTTGTCTTAAGGTATTAGTTTCTGAAAGTAAACATTGCACCATTAATGTAGATAGAACTTACCGCTTTGTTATTTATTCTTCAAATTTATGGCAAACTGTCCCTCTCTCAACCTGTGGCAAAGTATTTCCCAAATTTTCTATAACCCGCACCCCTTATAAATAATTGGAATAGTCTCGCGCCCCTAGAAAAAAATAATGCATTTTTTTAATTGGATTTCTAATTCGTTGAATTGCAAAGAAAACTAGAACTTAAAAAGTAAACTTTTCACATTATGCATATAGTAATGTGTTATTTGAATAAATATGTTAAATTGTATATAAATATTTATATCATATCTCAAGAGCTTATGTCTTCTCTGTTAAGTCTCTTTCTTGGCACCCCCTGAAATGCCATCTTGCAGCCCTTGGCATGCTGACACCCCAGGTTGGGAAACATTGCATAGGATGTGTGGGTCACTCAGGTTTCAAGCGTTTTGTTAAGGTTGATATAAGTAAAAGAATGGCAAGGGTTAAGTTGTGTGCTTGACATGACTATGGTTATTAGCCTGGGTTTAGCCTGGGTTAGGATTAGGTGTGTTCTTGACATGACAAAAGTTATTCTTGTTTAGCCTGGCTGTGTAGATTTTTGATCCGATGAGGAAACAACTTGGTTTGGGGATTATTGAATTGAATGCTACCGCCGTTTCCAATTAGTGCAAAGTGCATTGGTGCCGTAATGGTAGACCATGTTCAGTTCAAGAATCACTGTGCTTTGTTGTTACACCAATATCTGACATCCTGTGTACATAATGATATCATTGTTATATATATATTTAACTGGGCTTGTGAATGCCTGTCAAGATTGATAAATGTGTGTGTATGTATCAAATAGATGTGTGGTGAGGGGGGGGGGGGAAATAAGCATATATTAAGTATTGTCTAAGCATGAAGGGAAGCAGTACTTATAACTGTATGGCATCTGAATTTTTCATTCATCAGTTTAATTGATTTAGACCACACTGACAATTTTCAGAACTAAGATTTATTTGCCTGTTGTTCACACACAGAAAGCAGGGACCAAGTCGTATGAATGCAGCAGCTGTTTTGTGTGTGTTGTTTTTACAATTTTGTGAGGTTATTTAATTTGGACAATGTATATTTTTGTAACTGATTTTTTCATCTGGGCTGTTTAATATTTTCATCTAGAATATTCCATTATTTAATTTTAAACACAATTTTGATGGCTCCTTGACCTTGAAGTTTTGTTGGTAGAAAATGCAGTCTAATATTTTTCTATGTAATTTTAGAAAGGGGTATTTCCAGGGAATCAAAAGCAACAAAATGTTCTGGGAAGTGGTGGGGCTGTCAGGACTTTATTTTTAGACTTTTTCTGAGGATTATGTCTAGTTTATTGATTCAAAGAATTCTCAGTATGATCATGTTTAGTTTATTGATTCTAAGAATTCTCAGTATGATTATGTCTAGTTTATTGATTCTAAGAATTCTCAGTTTGATTCTAAGAATTCTCAGTTTATGTCTAGTTTATTGATTCTAAGAATTCTCAGTATGATAGTCTAAATTATTAATTCTAAGAATCCTCAGTATGATTATGTCTAGAATATTAATTCTAAGAATTCTCAGTATGATCATACTCTAGTTTCGTTGTCATTTAAACCATCCATTTTTTAAATTATTTAAACTTGAGACTATTGATTTGTTAATCTCATGAAACAGTTGGTTTCCAAAATTTTGTTTCTGTTTTGGCAAATTCAGCCACACTACCAATTATGTTGCCAAACATTTTTTCTTTTCATTTTGCAGCTATCAATACTTTTTGTGTGTTTGTAAAGGAACTATTTACACAATTTGAGTTTCACAGTGGGTGCTTTCATTCTGAAGGATTGACCATCGGCCGTCGTAAGATCGGGTGTCTTATTCTTTTACTGTGTTCAACCTCTTATGTGTTCAAGATCAGCTCATTTTTTTTTATATATATATATATTAAGAAAATTGCATCAGTTCAGAGATACCTACCTTTTTAGCCTCATTGAACTTCTTGAAGATGTTATAGTTTGTCATGTTATTAAAAACTGCAGGAGTCATCCTCAAGTGTTCATCCCAGCATTTATTTTTATTGAGTTTTAATCAATGTAGAATCATTTTTAACAGTAGACACTAGTATTTTAAAACATTAAATATTTATATATTGCGCATGTAATGCAGATGTATTGGATATTAAGTAATACACTTCTAACAAGAATGCAGTGCTAGTTAGAAATGTGTCATGTGACGTCATAAGATGTGTGCTGTGTCAAAAGGCCAACTGTATGGTGGATATTTCTTCTTTTTTTTAATGTTTGGAATAAATGAGTCTTTACTCTTGGACAACATGATGTTATGATTAAGTTAAAAACTCTAGCACAACATGAATGATATGATAAAGTTACAACATGAATGATATGATAAAGTTACAACATGAATGATATGATAAAGTTACAACATGAATGTTATGATAAAGTTACAACATGAATGTTATGATAAAGTTAAAATTTAATCTTCATAACTTTATGATAATTTGTCAATCCCTGCTGTATTTTAATGTCATTGGCCATTTTGATTTTGACATTTGTATATATCCAGTACTATATTTGTATACCTAGTATCTAGGGAGGGTGGAGTTGGTGTAGTATTGTGTTATAGTAAGCATCTTAAATCACATCGATATATTTTTATAGTTACTATTACAGCATAATGTTTTAGTGTAGCTTGAATAATATATACATCAGCGGCACCCAGCCTTTTTTCTTCTCCCATACCCCTTGATTAGACTTCTTTTTTGAGTACCCCTCCCTCGATTGAATGGTAGGGGGTGTAGTGTACCACATGTTGGAAGCCATTGATGGACATAAGAACCATTAAAAATGTAGGTTAACTTATTATTACTGGGTTTGGGCAATGGTGGCAGCATTTAACTTTTTCATCTTCTTAATTGGATCATAATGGTAGACTGAGTATATTACTTCCATAAGGTAGTTGGATCATAATGGTAGTCTGTGTATATTACTTCCATAAGTTAGTTGGATCATCATGGTAGAATGAGTATATTACTTTCATAAGGTAGTTTGATCATAATGATAGACTGAGTATATTACTTTCATAAGGTGTAACAGTAACAGCTTGTACTACTTTTCAGTGAAGGGTGTAACAGTAACAACTTGTACCGGTACTACTTTTTACAAGTCCCTGCTGCTGGCCTCAAAACACTTTCGTCACTTCAGGTGTTGTGTGTGGGGGTGGGTGGGGTGTTAAAATTAAAAGGCAATTTGTGTAGCCTGATTCCTCACCCCCCACCCCCTGATACAAGTGGCTCCTCTAACACCTCCTGATATGAGTGGCTCCTCTCACACCTCCTGACATGAGTGGCTCCTCCCACATGTCCTCATATGAGTGGCTCCTCTCACATGTCCTCATATGAGTGGCTCCTCTCACACCTCCTGACATGAGTGGCTCCTCCCACATGTCCTGATATGAGTGGCTCCTCTCACATGTCCTGATATGAGTGGTTCCTCTCACACCCTTTCAATTTTACTTTGTGTATAGTTACTAGGATAGACGTGAATAGTGTATAGTTATTAGGATAGACGTGAATAAAGTCCTCTGGTAGTTATTGGTCTGGCAATTATTTTGCTGAAACATTTTTTAAAGTGAGGGGGGTGGGGTGGAAGAGAACTTTTGTTACCTTGAACCAACATGACAACTTCCACTGTCATTTGGGTCAGTGACATGTCATGACTTAAGCTGATGAAGTTCGTACAGTGAGTGTATTTAAGTATTGTTTCCTTCTATCTGCTGGTTGGGGGGGGGGGAGGGGGTAGTAAGTATTGTTTTTATATTGACAACAGTTGAATTACTGAGCAAGTTACAAAAACTGACGCAGCACTGAAAGGGTGGACTTGTGTACTAAATTCAATAAGTCGCTTAAGGGATCAGTTGAATAGAAATTTTTGACTCAAATTATTTTATTAAACAAATATCTAGTGGGAACTAAGAATGATGGCCAAAGGTCAATTAATTCTAATGTGAAGTATTTCTTTGGACAAATTCAAATAAAAAAGTTTTTGCATTTTTGTTTTATTCGCCAACCGGGGAAATATTTTTGCAAATGCTTATCTTTGGGGGGGGGGGGGTCATTCCTATTTGACAGCATCTGCACCCACCTGCCAATTTAATTGTGTCAAACTGCTGAAGTTCCTCACATGTTAAAACCCTGAGATTTTTAACACTTTGGTCAGATTCATCATATGTTCTGGTCACACAACGGTGACCTCTGTCCAGCTGTTCATATTTTAGTTATGCACTGATGACAAATAGACATCGTCCAATGTATATTTAAATCAAGAGGTCTCAAATGTGGGTTCTGGGTTGTATAATTTTGATGGTCCCAAAGGTTGCAACACACCTGCCGACATGATTATTAATTAAAGTTGTTTCATCCGTTTGTAGCCACAATCATTTTGATACACTTTTTGGGGGGGGGGGGGGTTTGCAAGGCCTCCCCCTTGGGTTCTGGGTTTTATAATTATGATGGTCCCAAAGGTTGCAACACACCTGCCGACATGATTATTAATTAAAGTTGTTTCATCCGTTTGTAGCCACAATCATTTTGATACACTTTTTGGGGGGGGGGGGGTTTGCAAGGCCTCACCCTTGGTCAGTACAATGTTTTACTGTTGGCAAATTATAGTTATATATAAATCTTGTAATAAGAAAGTCTCATTTATTTTAATTTGTTAAAAATATGATACAAATTCTTTATGAGGTGTTTTCTAGCCATACAATATTATCTGTCATTACTAAACATTATTGGGGCTGGTGCAGTGGTGTGTTGACATGCAGTTGCTCAGAGGTTCTATGAATGTCTGAAATGGCTCGTATTTTGTTGTTGTAAATGATTGTGTTTTTATGCTGTTGTAACATTGTGTGTTTCTGATATAATAATGATGTATTGTAATATCCCTTGAACTCTTTCAATAGATGAGACTATCAGGATTTGTAAACTGGAATTAAAAAAAACAAATGCTTTGATACTTAAACAAATTGGTTTTTTCTTTTTTTCTGTACTCTTTGTTGGCTGTTGCATACATTATTCTATGTAAAGCTAATATTCTTGTGTTGACAAATAGTTATAGCTAATCTCATATTGTGTCGACACATGAGCCATAGCTAATCTTGTTTTCTTGTGTTGACATATTAGCTACAGCTTATCTTGTTGTGTTGTGTTGACATATTAGCTATAGCTTATATCGTGTTGTCTTGAAATATTAGTCATAGCTAATTTGTTGTATTGTGTTGACATATTAGCTATAGCTTATCTTGTTGTATTGTCAACATTTGCACATCATCGGGAGGAAGGACAATCAGGACGTGCGTGTAACCAAGTCTATGTGTGGTGCAGACTGCTGGACAGATCATCGTCTTATGATTACCAAACTCAACTTACACATACAACCCAAAAGACACCCACAAGGAAAGAAGACCACTAAACGTCTAAATACCACAAAGTTGAAAAGCGCTACATTAAGAAATCTTTTGTGGACGCTCTGGAAGAACGGATGGAGTCCACACTATTGGAAAATGACAAGGTCGAAGCAAACTGGGCATCACTTGGATTGATGTTGTACAACACCGCAATAGAGTTTCTGGGGCCAAGCTCGAATAAACAGGACCGGTTTGATAACTGTGGAAAAACACTGTATCCACCATGCTTCCCTAAACAACCCAAGGTCAGTCCCAATGAATGATGCGTACCACAGGATAAGAAGAACGGTGCGGCAGAAACTGTCTGATGCAGAATAAATGGTTGAGGGACAAGGCCGACGAGATCCAAGGCTATGTTGAC